ACCCTGGGCACCCTGACCAAGGAGAGCCCACAGCCCTGTGTCCCACTCCTGCCCTCGGACAAGCCTGGGGGCCCCATGTCTAGAGGTTCTCTAGTTCCTTTTCTCTGGAAAACCTTTGTTTTATTTTAGAAAGTTGACTGAAGGGTGGGGGTTGTGGCTCCGTGGTAGAGCGCTCACCTCGCATGTGTGAGACTCTGGGTTCGATCTTCAGCACCACATAAAAATAAATAAAATGAAGGTATTGTGTCCAACAACATTTGGAAAATAAATGTTTAAAAAAAAGAAGAAAGAAAGAAAGAAAGTTGACTGAAGCTGGGCGTGGTGGTGCACACTTGTAATCCTAGCAGCTTGGGAGGCTGAGGCAGGAGGATCATGAGTTCAAAGCCAGCCTCAGCAAAAGCTAGGCACTAAGCAACTCAGTGAGACCCTGTCTCTAAATAAATACAAAAAAGGGCTGGGGATGTGGCTCAGTGTTGGAGTGCCCCTGAGTTCAATCCCAGATACCAAAAACAAAGAAAAAGTTGACCGAGGTGAGGAGGAGCTGTCCTGGCAGGAACCAGGTATCTGGTGGTATGCAGTGGTAGAAACGACCTGCATGTCAGTCCAGCTGCCATGAGCTCAGTCATCTCTCCACCTGTTTAGGTTCTGATGAAGTCAGGACCACTTTTCCTTATGGATCTCTCTCTCTCTCTCTTTTTAAATTCCTTATATTAGAGCAGCTTCAGGTTTACAGGAAAACTGACCCAAGAGATTTCCCTTATGCCCCCTGCCCACACACATGCACAGCCTCTCCAGTGATCAACATCTTCCACCAAAGCCTAGTGTTTCTTTTTAAAAGTCGGAAAAGTCTTTCCAAAATCCCCCACCCCCCAAAAAATAAATGTTATTTTATTTCTCATGACCTTTTCTGAACCAATCATTAGTAAGCAAGATTAGAGAGATTGCTATGGGTGTGGGGCTAAAGGGATATTGGGAAATCATCACCATAACTACCACCATATCCCTGCTGATCTCTTTGTTCCTTAGGGATAATGTCTTTTTTACTCCTTTGCTATCATTTTAGTTGGCTTTGGGGGAGGGACCAAGAAATAAATGTGTATGATGTTTCTGCCCTGATTAACACTTCCACGTTCATTGGAGGATTAGTCACTGTAGCCAAGATATGGAAGTAACCTCTGATGGATTAAAATATAAAGAAGTTTGGGTACATATAACACCATGGAATATTATTCAGGCATAAAAAAGAAAAGAAATTCTGACATTTTCAGTAACATGGATGAACCTTGAAGGCATTATGCTAGTGAAATAAGTCAGATAGAGAAAGACAAATACTGTATGATTCCACTTGTGTGTAGAATTAAAAAAAAAATCATAGAAACAGAGGTTTCCAGGGGCTGAGGGATGAGGGGAAATGGATAGGTCCGAGTAATTTTCAGTTATAAGATGAATAAGTTCTGGGGAATCTGGTAACTACACTAAATAATAGTATGTTATATTCTTAAAATTTGCTGAGAAAGTAGATCTTGAGGATTCTCACCATCGGAAGAAAAAATGGAACCAAGCACAGTAGCACACACCCACAATCCCAGATACTCAGAAGGTTAAGACAAGAGGATTATAAATTTGAGCCTGGGCAATATAGGGATAACACTCATATCTTAAAATTAAAAAGCACCCCTGAGTTCAAACCCCATACCACTCCCACTCTCACACACACACAGGCCAGGGGTGCAGCTTGGCAGTAGAGTCTAGCACGCAAAGTCCTGGGTTTAATTCTCAGTTCCAGGGGAAAAAATGGTAATTAGTGGAGGTAAGGGATATGTTAACTCTATCAATTATAGTAACCATTTCACAAACATGCATATATCACATCAACACATTGTACACCTTCAATATGTGTAGCTATTTGTTTATTATGTAAAGTGTAATGTATTGCACATTATTAAAGTTTGGAAAAAATTAAAATAAAAAAGTCAAGGAGTCAGTTATGGTAGGGCATGCTGGTAATCCCAGCAGCTTGGGAGGCTGAGGCAGGAGGATCTCATGTTCGAAACCAGCCTCAGTAACTTAGAGAGGCCCTAAGAAACTTAGCAAGACCCTGTTTCAAAATAAAATATAAAAAGGGATGGGGATGTGGCTCAGTGGTTAAGCACCCTCTGGGTTCAATCCCTGGTACAAAAAAAAGAAAAAAGTCAAATAGTCTTGAAGGACATAAATCAAAAAATTAATAGCAATTGATCTTGGGCAGCAGGATTATAGGTGATGTTTTCTGACCCTCTGTTTGAGAATCATCTAAATTGTTTTACTTTGAGATCTTAAGCCATAGGTATATAGCTATGTGCAGCTTCTTTTCCCAGGCCAGAAGAGTAGGCATGGAGGGAGGACTGGGGAAATGTGTTCTTTGGTCTGTAGACCTTTGGCATGCAGAATGAATGGCATCCTTGTTTTTGTAATTATGGGAAGGTGAGTGTCAATGATAAATTGTCATTTCTATGAAATTTTCATAATAACGCTGAAAAACTACTTTTGGCTTTGTTTGGTAGCAAATACATATAACATAAAATTTGACATTTTATCATTTTAAATTGTACTAAGTGTATTCAACATAGTATAATGCAGCCATGTCATACCCATTTCCAGAACGTTCTCTCAACTGCAGTTGTAACTCTTACCCATTAAACACTTACTCCCCATCCCTCCCTCTCTGGCATCTCATAACCACTGTTCTATCTCATGTAAATGGAATCATACAGTGTTTGTCCTTGGTGCTGGTGATTTCACTTAGCATGCTGCCTTCAAAGTTCAGCCATAACATAGTAGGTATCAGAATTTCACATGTTTTCTCCAGTCAGAATGGCAATTATCAAGAATACAAATAATAATAAATGTTGGTGAGGATGTGGGGGTAAAAGTTCATTCATACATTACCGGTGGGACTGCAAATTGGTGCAACCAATCTGGAAGGCAGTATGGAGATGCCTCAAAAATCTTGGAATGGAACCACCATTTGACCCACTTGTCTCACTCCTAGATTTATACCCAAAGAACTTAAAATCAGCCTACTACAGTGGCATAGCCACATCAATGTTTATAGCAGCTCAATTCACATTAGCCAAGCTATGGAACCATCCTAGGTACCCTTCAACAGATGAATGGGTAAAGGAAATGTAGTATATATACACATTTGGGATATTACTCAGCTCTTTTAAAGAAGAATGAAATTATGGCATTTGCCAGTAAATGGATGAAACTCGAGATTATCGTGCTAAGTGAAATAAGTCAGTCCCTAAATCCAAAGGTTGAATGGTCTCTCTGATATGTGGTTGCTAACACATAATAAGGGAGGGTAGGAGGGAAAGAACAGAAGCTCATTGGATTAGACAAAGGGGAAAGGAGCGGGGATGGGAAAAGGACAGACATTGGAATAAATCGGACATAACTTTCCTATGCTCATATATGAATACACAACCAGGGCTGGGGATCTGGCTCAAGCAGTAGCACGCTCGCCTTACATGCGCAGGGTGCTGGGTTCGATCCTCAGCACCACATAAAAATAAAGATGTTGTGTCCACCGGGGGAAAAAAAAATGAATACACAACCAGTGAAACCTTACATCATGTTAATCCACAAGAATGGGATCAAAATTGTAATGGGTTGCACTCATGTATGTATAATATGTCAAAATACACCCGACTATCATGTATATCTAAAAACAACAAATAAATAAGTAAATATAACCTTTAAAACATTTCACATGTTTTTCAGGCTTGAATAATATTTCATTGCAGGTATATACCACATTTGATTTATCTATTCAACTATTGGTGGACATTTGGGTCATTTTACACCATTGTGATTTTTAAATGATCGTGCTTCTGAATCTGATTGCATTCAGGTATTTGAGACCTGAGATTTCGAAGCAACAAAGAACACAGGGTGAAAATGAGAGAAAAGGGTGACAAATCAAAAATGCTACTTCATGTGATGGGGCGAGGCGCTTTCAAAGCAGAAATCAGAAAATTATTTCCTTTTTTAAAAAAAAAAAAAAACTGATTTCCCCCAAATTTTTTTCCTCCCACATCAATCAATTGATAAAAATGTTGAGTAGTAAAGACCACTAACAACTATTTCTCTTCAAACTTTTCACTAATATGGATGTGTCTGTTTCTTTATGCCTTGTTTTGTCTTGCTTTTCACTGCTTAGGAAGTCTATAATGCTGCCTGTTATTGTGACATTGCTTTTTTATAAGCTTCGTCATAATTGAGATGACATCTGTTAGATTTCCTTATATTCGTGGAATTCATTCATTCCTTCATTGAGAAAAATCTCTCAACACCTACGAGGAGCCAACCATGCCAGGCGGTAGGAAAGTGGCTTGTCAAAAATCAGACTGAAGCACTCATTCTTAGAAGATGCTCTTAAACTACACGCAGCTCAGGACTAAGACACTGGCATGGCATTGGGGTCAGGAAAGAGTGGCCTCTCACTGGGACAACAGCTTTTATGATGCCAGTGTGATAACGGTTTCTGAAAGTCGTGGTTGAATAGCAAGGACAGTAGGCATGGGGCTGTTTCTTCATTACTGGTATTTTGTGGTTTGGTCTGATCCTGTTCACCTGGTTGGAAGATCACTTTCTAAGGGAAATGCCCGTGTGGTGAGTACAAATCACTTTACATGCAGTGGGTGAATTCATAGAAGATAATTTGGCTTCCATTAACTCCTTGATAGTTTTTTGCTCACCCTTGGGCCTTCCCCTCCTGCCTGGATCATGCCCCTCAGGAGCAGGCAGGGGAGAACCTAACTCCTCTGACCTACTGTAGAGAGCTGGTCACTTAACCCTTCAGCCTTAACATTTTTCCTTCGGCAAAATTGCTTTCTACCAGTCCTTCCTGACATGGTAGCAAGAGTAATCAGGTTGCTTTCTGGGCACCAGGAGACTGAATAGCTCTTGTTACCTCAGAAAAGTTGATTCTGCTTGTTCTCCACTCTTGCCTGTAGACCATCATCTGCAAATAGCATAAGTAGCAGTGCGTCTTCAAATCACAGCGGCTACGCGCCAGAGCCCCCTCTGCCCCCAGTTGGAGGTGACCTCACCAGCCGACTGTCCAGTGATGAAGGGGAGATGGACGGAGGCGACGAATCTGAGAGGTTGGACTGTCAGTTCTCCGTGCACCATCCCAGACCTCTTGCGGTAGGCCTCCTCCTGTTCCCTTCCACGTGGCTTCCCCAGGGTCACATCCTCACTCAGGCACTTTGATGATCAAGGCAGAGGCTCGAGTTCCTAAGGAAAGGGTGTCAGCACAGAGCTTTACCAAAGGCTTACCCTGAGGTTAAGTGATGGCATTACAAATGCCCTTGAACATCACAGAAAGAAAGGAAAGGGCTGCTGCCCGATTATAATCCTTTAAATACTTGGGTACTTATGGCCCACCCACCTGGAAGTGAAAATGTTTGAGAAATGGCATTCATGTAAATGAACTCAGGAGCTAACCTTTTGGCCTTGTCCATCTAAAAATGAAGTGTCTGATGTCCAAAGTTAGCAGGGCTCCTCTGGCAGCCATCCATCTTAGCCATGTGTCAGGTACCAGCCCTCGCTGGTGTTCTCCCTACTGATTCTAAGTTACACCGTTATTACTGTGACCATACGGTGCCAGACTGAGAGAGAGGGTGGGCTAGGGTTGTAGCTCAGTGGTAGAGTGCTTGCCTAGCATGTGTGAGGCACTGAGTTCAATTCTCAGTACCGCATATGAATTAATCAGTTAATTGATTGATTAAAAGGTTCATTGACCAAAAAAAAAAAAAAAAGTGCATCTGGTGTATTAAAAAAAAAAAAAAAGAACTGAGAGAGAGAGGAATGGAGGTGGGGGGAGTTGAGGAATGGAGGAAGTATTTTGTGTCAGCATGATTGCTTATTAACAAACAGGGCACTTTCTTTCCAATTTCTTAATAGTTCACTTTAACAATTCAGGCCATTGAAATCAAAGTGGGAAATCAAGGCATCAACTAGAGGCTGGTATATATTTGCCTTCTGAGCACATGAGAAGGGAAGTCTCTGGTGCCAAATGCAGGGGGCCTGCAACATGGGACACCACGGTGGTTTGCTCTGGTGCCAGTCTGAGCTGTTCACAATTGGCTTTGACTTACCTCTAGATCTCAGGGACCAGTAAGTTAAATGAATCCTCCACCATGAGAGAGTGAGTTCCTCCTCCCTCCTATCTGTGTGATGAATGAAGGCCACATCCACTTTGTCCTTCCAGGGATGATGGTTACCTGTCAATCATCTAGAGCCTGAGATTGCCTCATGATCCTGCACAGAAATAGTTAGGAACGACTTGGAATCCTTTTCCTGCCAGTAGTAGAAAAGTCATCTGCATACACATGAAGGATATTTAATTAAGTCACAAAGCAAGAAGGCTAGAGGTGTGTGCTTCCATGCTTGATTCAGCTCTTCCACGATGTCATGGAATTAAAGAGCAACCTCTGTAGCCATCAGTGCCTTTTGTGCATGGTTTCAGTGCAGCCACTGCAGCTCCAGGGTCACATCCTCACTCAGTGGCATTATGCACAGAATGGAAAGGGATACACAGAAAATGGACCTTCCAAGATGGTTTCTCTCAGTTAAAAATAATCTTCGGCCAGGAGTTGTGGCACTCACCTATTATCCTAGCAACTCGGCAGGCCAAGACAGGAGGATTTCAAGTTCAAAGCCAGCCCAGGCAACTTAACGAGGCACTGAGCAACTCAGAGAGTCTGTAATTCTAAACAAAATATTTAAAGAGCTGGGGAAGGACTGGGGCTATAGCTCAGTGGTAGAGCACTTGCCTCGCACATGTGAGGCACTGGGTTCTATCCTCAGCTAGAGGATAGAACCCAGTGGTTCTATCCACATAAAAATAAATAAAGTTATTGTATCCATCTACAACTAAAAAATTTTTTTAATTAAATTTTTGTTTAAAAAAGGGCTGGGGATGGGCTGAGGCTCAGTGGTAGAACACTTGCCTAGCATGCGTGAGGCCGTGAGTTCTATGCTGAGCACCACATAAAATTAAAAAGAAAAAAAGAGCTGGGGATGTTGCTCAGTGGTTAAGCGTCCCTGAGTTCAATCCCCAGTACCAAAAAATGATGATGATGATGATGATGATAATGATAAATAATAATAATAATCTTCCTACGAAGCCTTTAGACTTCCCCTTATATATCTACCTGAAACAGGTCACAAGCTCACCCCTATACTAGTGGCAGAGAAAGAAAGAATTGCAGTGACCTCAGATGAAACCAGCTATGATTCGTCCCAAGGTTCTGGGGAAGGACACACCTTCCCTGTTACTGCTCCCTGTCAGATATCAGAGCAAAGACGTGGTGTTCTTAGCAAGAGGAAGACAGGTCCAGGTGAGAGGAGATGCAGTGGGCAAGGTTGGCAGCCAGCAGGGCCTACAGTGACCGCAGGGCAGATCGGCTTCCTACTGAGGACACAGTATGCCAATCAGGAAGGGAGCCTCAGCAGCTGTGTTGTCTTTTATCTGTGGAGTTAGATAGGTGGGGAACCAAGATCAAGAGCTCCCAAGTCTGCAAGAGAAATGGGCTCTCCCAGAAGGCCAGACTCTGGAGGACATCAAGATATTCGTCCCCAGGACAAGCTGCTGTAGTAGGTTAGCTAAACTCGGACATGGCACATTTGTGTGCCATTAATGTTTTGCTGATTTAAATGGAAAAGCCACAGATCTGTTTCTTTGGTTTGTCTAGTCTTGTGGCCAATTAGTACAGTAAATCATTTTTGTAATAAACAATGTGTGCTTAGCAATTGGGATGAAGGAAGAAATGATGTCTAGGGGCTAGAGTTGGGGCTCAGCGGTAGAGCTCTCGCCTAGCACATGTGAGGCTCTGGGCCCAATCCTTAGCACCACATAAAAATAAATAAATAAATAAAGGTGTTGTGTCCCACTACAACTAAAAAACAAATATTTTTTTTTTAAAAAAAAAGGAAGAAAATGATGTCTAGACCTAGAACAACTCCTACAAACAGCTGGAGTCCAGCTTCTGCATTGGAAAATTCCTTGGTATATTTTCCTGCTTAGCCAATAAAAACTTAGGGACACAAAAAATGTGTTCATCAGTGATACCAGATTTGGTGGGCACTAATATTTTAATGCAAAATCCCCCAAACACAAGCACAAACAGAACAAAGGGAAGGTCTTATATTTTCTCCTAAAAACTGTTCCAAAGGCTGGATCCAGACGGGTTTGTGGAGTGGGTGCCAATCAGCACTATGTCTGGGACAGAGGCCAGGGAGCTGCTGCAGGGCTGAGAAGCAGGGAAAACTGCATTTGAGTCACGGAGTCATTTGCAAACTTGTTTGAGCTCTAGACCAGCCTAATGTCACCTTCTCAGAGGCCACTCTGTCATCTGGCTTTCCAGTTGTCCTAACATTATGATCAAGTGGTGTTTGCTAAACATTTGAATGACCATATTTCAGCCATCTATTTTAAATGCAATGGTTTGCTTTAAACATTTTGGAGGAGCTTTGTCTCCCCAATCCTTTTTTTTTTTTTTTTTTTTTTTTTGGTCAGGGGTATACCAGGATTGAACTCAGGGGCCCTGAACCACTGAGCCACATCCCTATTTTGTATTTTTTTTTTTTTTTTTTTGAGACAGGGTCTCACTGAATTACTTAGCACCTTGGTTTTGCTGAGGCTGGCTTTGAACTCATGATCCTCCGGCCTCAGCCTCCCAAGCCACGGGAATTACAGGCATGAGCCACCATACCCAGCCAGATCAATTCTTTATCACAAACCTTTATGATTCTCATACAGAGGAGGAAGAGAATGGAGTCCCTGCTATTTATACACTAATAGCCATCAGGTACATAAGCATTATATATGTAAAACGAAATAGCCACGTAGTTACTCCAAGGTGAAGTACAATAGAATATACAGTAGGTGTGCCAGAGTGAGCTCGCAGGGGGGAAGATCCATCAGATGAGCCTATTGGAAATGAGAATCTTGATTAGTGCACTGAGTGGGGGACTGTCAAAGAGAAGAGAGAGCAGGAGAGGCAGAAGGGCAGTAGGAGCAAAAGCGTGGAAGCATGCTGTGGCCCCAGGCAGCCGGCAAGGGCCAATGCAGGGAGCTGAAGTCTGGACCTAGGAAAGGAAGGCATTAGCCTGGACAGAAGTGAAGTGGCTCTGTGACCTCTGTGACGTACATAGGAAGGTATGGCCCATGGCACCAGAACCAGCATTTCCCATTACAAGGATGGGAGGCAGGGAGCCCCAAATTCTTTGAGAAGATGGAGGATGTGATGAACAGATGGAGCTCTGAAAAGTCTCCCTGGCTGCTTGTGATGGTTGTTTGCTTTTTAACCTGAAATGCTGGCCCAATCCCAGGAGTCGAGAATGTGGCCCCTGGTGCCAAGGAAGATTGAATGTAGCTATTGTTGTAGATAGAACGTGAGGTTCTGCAGAGTATCTCAAGCTCAGATTACAGCACCACAGAAATATTTTTGCCTTCAGTACTATTTGCTTCTTTATTTTGAGTAAAATGGTACCCCTGTGTGTTTTTATGCAAATGTTATTTTTCTCTGTGTGGCTTATATTAGCTTATTAACCTGTAATCAAAATTAAAATTTTGTTTTCCTCACAGTTTTGCTCATTCGGGAGTCGCCTCATGGGACGAGGGTACTATGTGTTTGATAGAAGATGGGATCGTTTTCGATTCGCACTAAACTCCATGGTAGAGAAACACTTGAATTCACAGATGTGGAAGTAAGTGAGCAGGTTCCGGGCAGTGTAAGGTCAGAGCTGCCCCACAGTCACCCGAACCCTAACTTCTACATAAACGTCAGCAGTTGGCGTTCTCACAGAGCAAAGAGAGTCTGAAATCAGGATTTGTGATTAATTCTTCAACGTCAGCTCTTCTTCATGGTTTGCCTGAAGATTTCTAGAGATACATATGATGTGCTAGATATATACTTTTGATCTTCTTTGAAGATCATTTCTGTGTTGGTAATATTCTAAACTAAACAAAAAGGATATTAGATAAGATCATATTTCTTTGACAGGGCCTTTTTACTACTATTAAGAGCATCTAAGGATATTAAGAATATGCTTTTAATAATGTTAATGATACAAAAAGCAATGCTACTAAAGATTTTATAATTGGTTATAGACCAATTTCTAACTGTTTTCTGTCCTGTGGGGAAAATGTGTGCGGTTGCCAACAGGGCAGACCCTGAGCAATGCTGTGAAGTTGGTTAAGTTTATCTTTGGCCCTTCCCGTCTCCTTTGGGGCCCCCTCCTCACCTCCGCTTGTCCTGTTTTCTTCCCTAAATTCCAACCTGTGTTCCATTTCTCTATGGACCTTTATTCTCCAACACGTCCCAATTTACTTTCATCTTAATAGGGGATTCACAAAAGGGAAGAAACCTCGATTGGATAGAATGCTATTATGAAGGAACAACAGGCCTAGACCCCAACAAACCATGACACACACAAAGAGCTACCTTTTGGCCATTTGACAATGTAAGCCTCTGGGTGTCCCCCTCCCCTGCTCCTACCAACAGGAGCTCTGAAGATACTATAATCCCATGGAAGCATGGATCATGTAAGTCCAGCCCCAGATAGTCCAGGAAAGCCAACAGCTGAAACCCCAACCCCGACCCCGCCCAGAGCGGTCCTGGAAAGGTAGAAAAGGCATTCCCCAGAAGTGGGAGGGAACGGCATCCACAGTTTGCCCAGTCCTCGGTTCCCTCCTCTCCCAGCAGCTCTGGAACCTCGGCCCCTTTACACAATGAACTCGTAGACATGAGCCCCTCTGTGTATGCACTGAGCTCTCTCGGGGGAACCTGGGACTATAGGTTGACATTTCACATAAACTAGGAAAGGGCCACGAGAGAAGCCTATTGTTTCTTCTCATATAAGTGACTACCCAGCGTGGCTAAAGGGCACCCTTGACCTCTACTTGTGTCCACTCAAAAATGCAACCCAGGGGTGCTGCTGTGTGTGGGATTGATGACCATGATCTCAGTTGCTCAGTGATCTCTCCTTCTGGGCTTGTTCCCCCCCAAGATGGCAGCCTGCCCTGGTGAGTCTCTCAGCTCTTGGCTGCCCTGTGTTATGGAAGTGTAAATCCCGGACACGTGGAAGGAATGTGTTGATCTGTCTTTCGCTCCCTGGTGTCCTATCAGCTCAAGCTCCATATTCCTTTCCTCCTCAGGCACAGAAGCCCGAGCCACAGGGCATCAGGTCCCTCCCCCCTGTTCAGGACTTGCCTAACCAATCTGCTGTCACTGAGCAACATTGGGGCTGCCTGGGTGTCAACTCTGGAGAGCGTAGCACCACGCTGCCCTCTCAACCTCGCTGCCCAAACCCCAGGCCCCGACGGGCCCGAACCTGGAGGGATGGCAGCCGATGGGGGCATGGAAGACATTAGGAAGAAAAGGAACGGCCAAGACACTTTTTTCTTTAACAAGCATTTAACTCTGCATCAGGAGACGCCAACACAGTATTCTCTTTCAGCCAGGTCAGCATCTGGATCTCCACGCCAGCTGGCAGGGGAGGATGGGCACTGTCAGGAACTCATTCGCATCTGTGGGCTTTTGTGCAGGACTTCCCTAGGCCAGTGTGCAAGGCTTACACCAGGGCACAGCCCAGCAAAGCTAAAATCCCCGGCCATTTGGCACCTAGAAAACACACAAACTGTTCAGTGTGGGAGACAGGGGTTCCCGGGGACAGCCCCTTGCACCACTTCTCCTCTGCCCTGGTTCCCTCCTGCCCCAGCTGACCACTGAGGATTAGTGGAGAGGAAAGAAAGGAATAGGGCATATGCCAAAAGTAACACCGATTCCGATCCTGAGTGAGGGCCAGGTATGATTTAGGACGTCAACTCTGTTTGTTGGCCCAAGTTGAAGGGTGAGTTTTTACTCTTTAATGGGGAAAATATAAATTGAGGAATTAAAAGTAGATCCCATTCAAGGTCATCAAGTGGGGTCCTCCCTAAATGAGCCATCTGGTATTTGTAAATAACCTGTTAGCTGCCAAACCTCTGCCACTATGTATTTCTAGCTCTACTTTAGTTAGTAAGGAAACTTGAGCCAAGGAAAGGTTTGAGTGGGATGCCTCTAGTACCAGAGTAAGGCAACAAAGACAGCAAGAAAGTTTGCTGATGCCTCACACTCTTAAGAAAACTTCCCCAGCCCTGTTAGGAAGGGATTGTGGCTAGGCATGGTGGCATGCTTCTGTAATCCTAGCTTCCCCAGGAGGCTGAGATGGGAGGATTACAATTTAACGAGACCCTGTCTCCAAAATGATATAAAAAGGCCTGGGGAACTCAGCCAGGGGTAAAGCTCCCTGAGTTCAGTCCCCAGTACTGACCAAAAAAAATAAATAAATAAAGGAAGGGATGGTGGGTGTAGTGCCAGTGCCAGTGGCAGACAATTTAAATTCTCAGGATGTATGTAGACCTTTCCAATCTGATTCTATGGGAGTCCTTGCCCAGCATGCATAGTCCCTGACAATCCGGTTATGTTGCTGCTAAGAACTCACCCGCTCACCCATCCACCTACCCATCCATTCATCCATTCATTCACTCATTCATTCATTTGCAAAAAAAAATATTTATGGAGCACCTACCTAGCTTAGTGCCAAAAGGAGCTTTTACATTCTTCAGGCCACCCAGTGCCATCATAGCCGTTGTGGGTTTGGCAATATTTTTTTTTTTATATTTGATCTGGGTCTGACATTCAAGCACACTGTGCTTCTGTATTCAGGATTCCTCTGGATTCCACCCTGAAGATGGGAGCCACAGGCTCCACCAAGTAGAGGCAGAGAAGGGAATTGTGAGAGAAAGGGATGTGAGGAGAGGTGCTGACTTCTCAGTGTGGCCTCTGTCCAGAGTTCCTTGGCACCTGGGTCTGGAGCCACAGCTGCGGGGTGACCTCCAGAGGGAAGGTTGGGTGAGGCCCCATCCAAGGTGCAGGCCCTAGGCTGGTCCTGCCTTCGAGGGCTGCTTTCAGAGAAGGAAAGCTAGTTCCTGATTTTTGATCAGCCCCGGAGAACAAACTTGCTGGGAACAGGGAAAGGAGTGAGATATAGGAAAGAACTGGCTTAAAAACATTCACTGGGCTCCTGAGGTCCATGTTCTTCCCAGCAAAATGAGGAACATGTGGGGACCCCATAGCTGCTCTGCCTCCCTTCTGGCCTGGGAGTATCAAGAGCATCCCCCAGGCTGTAGATTGGAAGTGGGAGCCACTTCTAGCATAAGTCAAAAGATGGAGTTTGCAGAGAGACCCCAAGAATGACCCCCTGCCCTGGCTCCAGGGAGTTTGCTTTTAGACACCTCCTAACCCAGCTCCAGGAAGACTGAAGAAGAAAACAGTGGCTTTCCCCTTTCCTATCCCTATGTTGTCCTCCTGACCATAGCCTGCATGTACCCTCAGAACAAACTAGAAAGCTCTGGTCCCCTTCTCTGCACACAAGTGTCCCCATATTCTCACCTTTTCCTGACAGGGGCCAGGAGGATCTGTTGAAGGGCAGCTCCATTACAGCTCTTGGTAAGAGCTGAGGTAGGGTGGGATAAAGAGGGAAAAACGTCAGTCCTGGATAGGGGTAACTTGACATCTTTGTCATTTCCCAAGATCCCAACCACCATGGCCATATGGAGCCAGCGACCTTGAGCTAACATTGACATGCCTCCCCAGAGTAACCAGAGGCTGCAGGTAGCAGGAAGGTGCTGGCCCACGGAGAGGGGGCTATCCCCAGAGTACCTCTAGCCACACACCAGGTGGGGAACAGGGAAAGAGGATGCAGTAGCCGGAAGTGGAACCTCTGAGCCATACTTCCAGGTGGCCAAGCCCTGTCCTCCCATTTCTTACTTCACATCGGGACCTAAATGTGAAATGACCACTTCTCATTAAAGGCCACCTTCATCGCTGCCAAAAAAAAAAAAAAGAAAAAGAAAGAAAGAGAGGAGGGAAGACGGCTGGAAATATGCACGTTCTAAATAACAATTGCCTTTGATTGATAAACCCAAATCAGCCATTCTCCAGTACAGGCGTGGAGAATAGGATCTGGAAACCCACAAAGGGATTGAAATAGTTGTTGGATGTTGCAATGGGGCAGCATAAGGAAGGGCCATCCTTCAGCTCTTACCATCCACCAAGGCTTCATTCTCCATAGTCTGGTCCTGCCGGGGTGTTCTCTGTGGCCCTGATGCTCAGACGTCATTGAGCCTCCCAAGCGATGCCAACCCAATGTCTCACTGTTTCTCTTTGGCTCTTCTCTCGTGTTTAGGAAGATCCCTCCTGCGGCAGATAGCCCCATGCCCTCGCCAGCAGCCCACATCACCACCCCTGTTCCAGCATCCGTTTTGCAGCCTTTCAGCAACCCCGGTGCTGTGTATCTTCCTTCAGCTCCCATCAGCTCGAGACTCACCTCTTCTTACATAATGACATCAGCCATGCTCTCAGACGCAGCTTTTGTGGCATCGCCGGACCCGCGCGTCCTCATGTCCCACACCACAGCTTTCCCCCATGTGGCCGCCACCCTCAGCATCATGGACTCAACCTTCAAGGCCCCATCTGCCGTGTCCCCGATACCAGCCGTCATCCCTTCCCCATCCCACAAGCCATCCAAAACCAAAACCAGCAAATCCTCAAAAGTCAAAGACCTGTCCACCCGTAGCGACGAGTCTCCAAGTAACAAAAAGAGGAAGCCCCAGTCTTCGACTTCCTCCTCCTCCTCTTCCTCTTCCTCCTCCTCCTCCTCCTCTTCCTCCTTGTCCCTGCCGCCTTCCCTCTCGTCTCCATTGTCAGGGCCCCACAAAAAGAACTGTGTCCTGAATGCCAGTTCCGCTTTGAACTCCTATCAGGCGGCCCCTCCCTATACCAGTCTGTCTGTGCACAACTCAAACAATGGGGTGAGCCCACTCAGTGCCAAGCTGGAGCCCTCAGGACGGACCTCGCTGCCCGGCGGCCCCGCGGACATAGTGAGACAGGTGGGCACGGTGGGCGGCAGCAGTGACTCCTGTCCCCTCTCTGTGCCCTCCCTTGCGCTCCACACAGGGGACCTCTCTCTGGCCTCACACAATGCCGTGTCTTCTCTGCCCCTCTCTTTTGACAAATCAGAAGGAAAAAAGCGTAAGAACTCGAGCACTAGTAGCAAAGCCTGTAAAATCACTAAAATGCCTGGTATGAATAGCGTTCACAAAAAGAACCCACCCGGCCTTCTTGCACCGGTGCCCGAGCCCGTTAACAGCACCTCCTCTCGGCAGGTAAGGGACCTCCTGGCACAGCCTTCATCGGCTCTGGGGGGCAGGGGGAGCTGGGCAGTGCCCCTGCTTGGCCAGGTGGCTCAGACAGGTAACGCAAGCGTGGCTCCTTTTCTCGTTTTCCCTATAGGCGACCTTCACCCTCTGCTTTGAGAGCAGTTTATTTAACAAACGATTCACAGACTCTCACTGTGAGCTAGGCAGTGTGCTGAGCGAGTTACAACCATCACCCCATCTAGTCCTCACAGCCGTCCAGTGCGGTTGGTAGAATTGTTGTTGCCGCTTTACAGATGGGTAAACTGAGACACGGAGCCTTTGAGTTCCCCACTCCACTTTTGTTGATTTTTCTATCTTGGGTTTATCAGGATGATTTCATTAAAGAGTTCTGGTGTTAAGAAGTTTGATTTGATCTGTTGGAATCCCCTCAGGAAGAGCCCAAGGTCCAAGCAGGTTTAATGGCTAGGGAGTGGTAACCTGGTTTCCCAGGTCCCAGGAGATAGTCCGCAGTTCACCAGGCTGCCTGGATCCATGCCCCCTCCTAATGTAACTCTTTCCTTCCTAAAGGAAAACTGCAGCTCACGCCAAATGCATGTATCATGAGGACGCTGGGAAAACGTGGGTGGCCCAGCTGGGTGCAATGGCACACACCTGTGATCCCAGCAACTTGGGAGGCTGAGGCAGGAGGATCGCAAGTTCAGAGCCAGCCTTAGCAACTTAGTGAGGTCCTAAGCAGCTTAGTGAGACCCTGTCTCAAAATACAAAAAAAAGGGAGGGGGGCCTGGAATGTGGCTCAGTGGTTAAGTGCCCCTGGGTTCAATCCCCATTACCAAAAATAAACCAAAAATGTGGGTGATCCAAGAAGAATGTGTGTTTCATTCCCTTGGGCTCCGTTCCCAGTCCCAAATCCAGTCTGTCTTCTCGGGCTGGAGGAGCTACTTAGGAAAGGCCGCTACCACCCACTCCTCAGCCCAACTGGTGGGAGGACCAACACCTTCCCAGAGACTGGAGTTCAGCCTGAGGCCAGTGACCTAGAATTCATGGGCTAAACCATAAGGCTGGGTCCAGGATAGGGATGAGGACTTTGGAAAGATGGGAGGCAGAGGTTAAAAGATGTCTTCATGTTTTATGTCACCATGTATGGGACTTGTTAAAACCCCATGAAGAACACCTCCTGAGGGAGGGGGAGTCACAAGTACACACTCGAACAACAGCAAGTTTGGAGCCCCAGGGGGCCAGACAGCTGCAACGAGGCCAAGGTGAGAGGAGTGCAAGATACAGGTCCTCTGTTAGCACCTGGCTCCATTCTGACCCCCCAGTTCCAGAAATAGGGATGGGGCCCTACCTGCAGACTAAACTGCTGGCCAGTGCTAGCACATTTCAGGATGGAGGACACAGCCAGGGCTTCTCAAGCTGGAACGTGCACATGAATGTGAAAATGCATATTCTGCCAGGTGCGATGCTGCATGCCTTTAATCCCAGTGATGGAGAGGCTGAGGCAGCTGGATGGCAAGTTCAAGGCCAGCCTCAGCTACTTAGCAAAGCCCTAAGCAACTTAGCAAGACCCTGTCTCAAAATAAAAAGGACCAGGGATATAGCTCAGTGGTAGAGGGTCCCTGGGTTCAGTCCCCTGTACCAAAAACATGCACATTTGGAGTGAGCAGGCTTGAGGTGGGACTGAGTCTGCATTTCCAACACAGCCCACCATGTACCAAGGACAGTCATAGAGGAAGGGACATACCCACATGTCCCCAGTCCTGCCATCCCAGGACACAGAACCTGACTTCCAGACAGGGCCACTACACTACACTGGTTTGCTGACCAAGCCTTGGACAGCAAAATCATGATATCTCACTCATTTTAGATGGAGTTCTAGCAGCTGACACGTGTGATGGTCTCTGTTCCAAGCACTTCAGATATATTAACTCAATAATTACCTGTCATTGCCCCCATCTTAGAGATGAGTCAACCAAGGCACAGAAAGGTTACCTAGCTCACACAGCAAATAGAGTAGGTCTGGAATTTAAAGACAAGCATTTTGCTCTGGAGTCGGGCTTTTGGCCTCCGTGCCGTTAAGGGGCTGTCTCCACATTGAGAGACAGCTGCTCTCTTGGTTCTGGGATCTGCAGGACTGTATGAAATGCTTGGGTGACACAATGAATCAATCAAAAGCAGTAGCAAAAAACTCAGTTGAGTCTTCTCCACCAGAGTGCTTGTCAGGAGGAGAATCAACACTGGTGTTCACCTCCAGGGATTTCCAAGTGTTGGGAAAAGGCCGTGGCCTTTGGGGTGTGCACTGATGGTCTTAGAAGGTTGGGAGAGTGAAAGCATAAAGTTGAAAAATCCAAGATAAGCCTGTGCTTTGGGGACAACTTGAGGATCCATTGAATTATGTCTGGTAGATATAAGGCCAGAATTTGCTACCAAGATATTAAACAGACATGAACTGAGACTGTGTGTTGCAGGCAAATGTCTTTAGGCAAAGGTGGGTCGATGTTGAGGAGGATCTGTGAACAGGCTGAAAGCACTGGTTGCCTTTGCAGCCAGGCCCAGAGGCACCCACCTGTAACCCCGTTGGCTCAGGAGGCCGAGGCAGAAGGATCACAAGTTGAAAGCCAGTCTCAACAACTTAGCAAAGCCCTAAGCCATTTAGTGAGACCCTGTCTCAAAATTAAAAATAAAAAGGGCTGGGAATGTGGCTCAGTGATTAAGCACTCCTACGTTCAACCCCTGGTACAAAAAAAGAAAAAGCCTTGCCTTTGCAAACAAGTCAGGAACAAGGCACTGGCCCCTGATATTAGCTCCCACGATGTCCCAGCCCACCATGTGACAAGGACAGTCACAGAGGAAGGGACCAATCCACATGTCCCCACTACTGCCATCCCAGGGTCCTAGCTGAGCATAGTGCCCTGCCCTTCCCGCACTTGCAGGGGCAGCCAGCACCACCGTGCTGATTTTCTGAATGCTGTCTCCTGGCCAGGAAACCTGACGCAGAAACAGGCCTAGGTGTTTTTAGCTACCGATGATCCATGGGAATCTGGGCTGGAGACAAGGTGGGTCAGAGGTAGGTGAACTTGTGCAGCCCACGCGTGGACACGCTGGGGCTCCCAGGAGAGGCCAGCTTCTCACCAGATACTTCACCCTGACACTTGCAGTCTGTCCATCTGGGAAGCAAAATTAGGAGTTCGCTACCATCCTGCTTTTCCTCTGGGAACCATTGTCACTTTCTGCCATTGAAGAAGGCTCATTTTGAAGCAGTGTGAGAGAATGAGGCCCGTTGCACAGCCCTGCTCCTCACCCCCAGCAGTGTGGTGTCGGAGGGACTTTCCAAGGTGCCTCTGGTGTCTGAGTGGGCTTCACTGGTGTCTTTCAGGTTGGGAAAAATAGCAGCCTAGCTTTGTCACAATCCAGTCCTTCAAGCATATCCAGCCCAGGACACAGCCGACCGGTAAGTTACTGGGGGTCACGATGATCCACAGAGTCCACATCAGGGCAAAAAGAGTGGGCTGGGCATTGGGGTCAGAGGTCAGACCCTAATTCAAACCTCAGCTCTAGATAAGAGTGTGACTACCTGGCTCCCAAACCTAGCTAGGCCTTCTCGTTATTAACTTTACTCCTTGAACAAGTTACTTAACTTCTCTGTGCTTCCATTTCCTCATGTATAAAGGGGAGCCCCTCGTGGCCACTAACGCCGTGTAAGGCTCTTGTGAGAATTAAATTAGTTTATTCACATAAAATCTCTGGAAAATGCCTGGCACGCAGCAAACACACGAGTGTTAGCTGTTGTTATTATTATCAGATGTGTGATCGTAGGCAGATTGCTTCTCTGGGTCTCGTTTTTTTTTCATCGGTTAAGTGCCAAAATTGGGCTGGCAGGGTAGCCTCGTGGTAGAACACTTGCCTGGTACACATGAGGTCCTGAGTTCAATCCTGAGTGCTGAAAAAAAGAAAAGAAAAGGGCAAAATTGATGCTTACGTCCTAATAGCATTGTGAAATTTAAATAAGATGATGTTGATTAAAGGGCTTACTCGTGACATTTATCAGTCTGTGCTTTCTCAAAGGCCTGGTGAACTGTAGTTGTCCTTCAAGATGTGGTTTCATGCTAGGCATATTCAGGATAGATTTAGCAGTTTTTATGAACTTGAGGTGTGAGAGTAGTCAACGTACAAGCTCAGGGATATGATTTTTCTCAGTAGAGTTTGTGTGTGCGTGTGTGTGTGTGTGTGTGTGTTTGTGTGTGTGTGTGTGTGAAGAAAGCAAGGAGGGTCAGGGGTGGGGTTGTGCCTCAATTACATGTCATGTTGTTTTGGACATGCAGTCATGTTTTATAGACACTAAAGAGCAACATGTTTTGTGTTTTGCCCTTTGAGATTTTCCCACAAATCTTGGGTAGAGTTTAGGGGGAAAAAGATTACGGGGAAACTTTTTGTATCCCTAGATGCAAAGGCTCTCCCCACTATTTTGAGTGGCTATGGGCCTCTTCGCACTTGAGCCTCTGCAGCCTATCATCCGTGCTGGTCTGGGAGGGTGGCGCCTCTATGCTTTGTCAGCTTCTGTGGTGGGTGGGCCCCTGGCAGAGGTTGCTGAGTGTGTCTAGAGAATACATTTTCACCCTCACCAAGCATGTGTCCATAGCTCCAGGTCCCTTGCAGGGAAAACGAATGCTGGCAGTGAGACTTAATAAATATGGAATAATACCAGCAGCTACTACTTGGTGAGCACTGTCTCTGCAGCGGTGCTAAGCCCTTTACATACTGTATGGACATACTTGTAACAACCCCATGAGGGACAAGAGTATACTCTTGTGATAGATGGAGATGGCTGTCCTAAGAAGCTAAGTAACTTGAACCCAGAATCTTGCTTCTCTAAAGCCTCTGTATTTAACCCAACGGTATACTCCTTCCTTAGATAATTCATTGGGCCACCTGTAGGTTACGTAGGAAAAGGTGAACCGATAGAGGGGGAAACAATGAAGACATCACTTATTCCAGTCCTCTCTCCAGGAGAGGAGTTCCAGGAATGTCCACTGCATTTGTCCCTGTGTTTTCCTCCAGTCCTAGGATCATGGTGACTACATAACATATCTGGAGTCCTTTATAGCCATCACCTCATTTGCTTATTACAGCTGTCCTTTGCCATGTACTGGAGGTAGGATGTTATCCTTTCTGTTATGGTTGAGAAAACTGAGGCTCCATCCTTGAATTTTCATGGGCTATCCCAAATGTATGGTTTTGAAACAAGTTTTTCTTTTCTTTCCTAGAAGAACACAAACAGAATGGGCAGGATAAGGACTCTTCCATAACAAGACTATGAAGCCACTTCCAAAACAATTCCTGGTTGTGATCCCACCCCAGGAGGCCATGGCAGGAGGAGGAGGGAGGGGAGTGGGCCCTTGGGGAGCGTCTCTTCCCTATGCCCTGCCTGTGGCTCTGGCCTTTCTTCTTCTTCTTTTTTTTTAATGATCAGTTTTTTCGTTGTTGTTGTTTTTTGAAGAAACAGAAAAAGGCAAAAGACCGTGGATTTGAAACTTTCAGAAAACAATACCAGTGTTTTCTTTCCATTTTTCATTTGCCACATTTATACATTCTTCCAAATTTGGGGTCACTTCCCTCACTCCTGATGCTGCTACCCCACCATAATTTTGCTCCTGCCCTGAGAGCAGACGTCGCAGAATGTCAGTTCTGGGTTGGCGCCGTCTGAAGCTCTTGAACTTTAGCACATGCAGAGCTCTTCCTCCTTGTTCTCTCCCACCGCATCCCTCCCATCCCCAACCTGCCACTCACAGGGCAGGAGGGGCCCACTGGCCATCAGGAGTGGCTGGCTCCCACCAGTACCCCCTGGACAGCATGCTGGGGAAGGGGTTTTGTTAGGGAGGATCCTAAGAGGAAAGAGCCAGAGGGTATGTGGGTGCCCTCAACAGATTTCTACAGCCCAGCAGGCAAAATTGAGAACACTGGCTGCTTAATGACCTGGTTTACCAATACCAGTGTCTAGCTGTACAGCCCAGAAAAGACATACAGGGGAGAAGCAGAGGGGACCTGGAAGAGTGGCAGAAAGCAGAATCTGGCCAGTAGGAGACAATGTCCCTTAAAAAATGGTGGGGACCAAGTAACTGTGATGGTCTGAGCTTGTTAGGAATCCATTCTGCAGAATCCCTTCCAGGGCACGGTATGCAGGTTCCCAAAGTTGAGTGAGTCAGAGATGGAGGAATCCCACGGGAAAGGCCACTGAACCAAAAAAAAGTCACTCCATCAGGAAGCATGCTGATCTTCAGCTAAAGGTTCTCAAGTTGCCCTCTGGGGACAGGAAAGATCCTCAAGGGGAAAGCCTCCATGGAGGATCATGTATCAAATCCCTTGTGAAAATAAATACTAGCATTGCCCACCCATGCCCAGAGGGGAACTTGCATTGCCCACCTACACCCAGAAGTGAGCGTGCATTCTGTTCTCAGATGCCCCAACTCAGACAGCCACCCCTGAGAAGGAATGGTAAAGGACGTGCCATCTCTTAGTGAAGAGCCATTTGGAAGAGCTGAAGAGAGACATTGGAGCATCGCAGCTATGAAGTTTTTCACACTGGAGTTTTGAAAGAAACAGCAATACCATAAACTCTAATAAGGAATCATCATCAGGAACGGAATTCCTAATGTGAAACAGGAGTTCTGTGCTAATCTTATAAGTTTGCATACAACAGAGATGCTAGGAGGTTCTCTTTCATCCTGAAATCAGAAATGCTAGTCTCGCGGCTGGGTGCATCCCCCAATCCCAAGGTTTTCCTTTATTTTCCCATCCCCCAACCCAAAGATCAGACTACTGTTAAGTTTCACCACACGATTGGAATCTGCAAAGGTGGGAGGCTAACGGAGTGATCTGCATTGATGGAATTGCACTGACAGTATTTCTTATAGGATTACTAAATTTTTTAATATAAAAAAAGATTTTTTTAAAAATCAGGAGTTGATATTAAGTACCAGGACATTAGTTCAGATGATTTCATTTTTATTTCAACAGTGTTAAAAGTGCACTTATATGCTGGTTTATTTGAGTCTTGGAAAAAAGAGACTGCAAATTGAAGGGACGATTGTTAACTTTTTCTTTTTAAAAAAAAAAGGTTAAGGCAGATTTTAAGACTTATAAATGTTTAAGAAATTATAAACAAGGTTAGACCCTTTGAAAAAAAAAGTTTAGAAGATATTCTTAAAGTAAATTTTTATAGTGTTAATTTTGTAATAATTTATGTTTTACTATATTACAGAGCTAACTGACCAGAATAGTTTCAGAAACAATATGAAACTTAGGAAAGTTTAAGCAATGTTTATATTTTTAAAATGTTCTTTGAATTATGTTTTTATTGTATGTTTCTTCAGACCGAAAAGTATGTACATATCTTTGTTATTTTTGCACAATTTTTGTCTTGTTCGGTTTTAGAAGTCTGATGTTTTTTATAATTTATTTTGAGTTTTAAAACTTGCAGGAGTAGAAACAAAACCAATCTCGGCAACAAAATAACCCTCTGATTTATAAACTTTTACACTCGAAGAGGGAAAACAAAGGTTGAGAGATGAAGTGGCTGCTTCTGAGAAATAATGTCTCAACAGGGACTGAAGGAGCGGGTTCAACATTTTAGCTCCCTGCGTCTTGAAATGGAAGCTGGAATAAAGAGGTTCCTCACCAAATGCTGCTTACTTTCTTGAAAAGACTGGCTCTGACCAAGGTGAGGACATTTATGGATAACTGAGCAAAAAGGGAAAACCCACGGTATTTCTTCTTTCGCCATCAACCACAGGTTTACTTTGTATTGATGTATTAAAAACTTGCAGCTTGAAAAGTGGAATGCAAATAAAGGTTTTCTTTGGGTTTATTTTCATGGAGTTCAACTGGACCAGCCTATAAAGCATCTTTTGGGTGGTATCCTTTGGGTCCTTCTGTTCTGCACACCCCCCAACAGCCTTCTCTCCCAGCCCCTTGACTGCACACACCCCTATTTGCCTGAAGACCTCCTGACTTGTCGCCAGCCATAGAGGCTCGAAAGCTCTGGTTGTTAAACATAACGCAATGCATAGACCTGTCAGCCATAAAAAAAAAAAACAAAAAAAGAAAGAAAGAGAGAAAAGGAAAAAAGAAAGAAAGAGGA